AGTCTGTGACTCTATGATTCTATGAACGTCGCTGTGAAGCAGAGACCTCACATGGAATATGAAGCTGAGGTGCACGGTAAATGTCATTGCAAGGCTTCCGTTTGTGAAGTGCAGAGGAACAGCAGGGAAAATCCCTTCTGAATTTAAGACATATATAGAATAAAAAATTTTGCTTTTCTGATCTCTGAGATGAAGTAAATGAGGAGGAAACCCCAGTGACTCACATTAACAACACCAGGCCCCAGAAAAATCTTTTAACGTACCCTCACCCTCTACTTTATATTTATTTGAAAATTACCAAGAGAGAACTTTCCTGTCACACGGTTTTTATTCTTTCCAAACCCCTGCTGGCATGTTGGGGCTGGTTTTGGAAACAATGCTGTCAGTCAGGACTGAGTGGTCTGAAACCTTCAGACTCAGCTCTCTGCATCATTTCTACCAGTAGGAGTTTGCTCCTCACCAACAGCTCCGGGCTGAATCAGGCCCCTCTCACGGCAGCGAAGAGCTCAAGGTTGATTTTCCATCTGTTCCTCCAAGTGAGGAAAGCAGACACAATTTTCCTAATTTATAACCCTTAAACTGCAACAACTCAAGTCTCCACAAGCAAAAGCGACGCGCTGACTGAGGATTCGAATGACAGGTTAAACTGGGCACTCGACATCGCACGGTGTTATCCAACTCACCCGAAAGGCAGTTCCTTCCTCTATAATTGTAGGTAGTTGGGAAAGGCAAATATCAACCGCAAGGTCCCATGCTTGCCTGGAGACAAAGTGGACAGAGGAAAGAGAAGTCACCACACGTTATCCATGAGTAACAGCAAGGGAAATGTAAAAACACAAGTATCTGGACAAAGCAGTGTTACCTGGCCGGCTCAGAAATGCTTAGCATTCTCTTTGTTAAAAAGACAATACAACATATGAAAACTGTTCAGAAAACAGAGAGAAGGTCTGCTCCAGCATCTCATCCGGCTGCCCAACAAAACGTGAGCGTAGCTGAAGTTCACAGAAACCCCTCCACTCTGGGATGCAGAAAGAAGTCAGGGTGAACCGAAGTCTCATTCCATACCTGCCCTCATGAAAAAATGGATGGCTTTTTTTTTTTAAAAAACAGAAAAAATTAACTCAGTCCTGCATTAGCTCCAACCCATAATCCTCGGCAGACGCCTCTACAGGCACCCAAAGCCTCGCCGGCTCCGCAGCCGAGTCCCATCAGCGCAGGAAGATGCAGTCCTGCTGACAAGCCCTCCAGCTCACGGATACACCCACACCACCGCGCTAATTCTCCTCTCCACGTCCGCGACACAGACCCCGTGTCACTGCACATGTCGCTGAGAAAAGGAACTCTGTCTCCATCAATCTAACTCGAGTCGGGTTTTGCCTGGCAGCTCTGTTTACGAGGATTCATGACTCACCCTACGGATGGAGGGATGGACACCGAACTGGGAGAAAACACGTAAGGACTGCAGTTTTTACACATAGCCACTGTTATTGTGTAATGGCCAGAGTATTGTGACTTACAGTGGTTTAGTGGTAGTTACTGCAGCACGCAAGTGGCCAAGGAACCTGGCGTGGCTGATTCACAGAATCCCAGACTGGTTTGGGTGGGAAGGGGCATTACAGCCCCCCAGCCCCACCCCCTGCCATGGCCAGGGACACCTTCCATAGCCCAGGTTGCTCCAAGCCTCATCCAGCCTGGCCTTGGACACTCCCAGGGAGGGGGCATCCACAGCTTCTCTGGGAACCTGTCCCAGTGCTCCCCACCCTCTGTGGGAAGAATTCCTTCCTGATGGCCCATCTCCATCTCTCTCTTTTTGTTTACACCCGTCACCCCTTGTCCTGTCACTCCCTGCCCTTGGGAAAAGCCCCCCCAGCTGTCTTGTACCTCCCCAGGCACTGGAAGGGGCTCTGAGGTCTCCCCGGAGCTTCCCTTCTCCAGGCTGACCCCCCCACCTCTCCCAGCCTGTCCCCATGGCAGAGGGGCTCCAGCCCTCCGAGCATCTCCGTGGGCTCCTCTGGAGTCTCTCCCACAGCTCCGTGTCCTTCTGCTGTTGATTCAGCGCAAAAGAAACGTGCAACCAGCCGGCTTCAAAATGCTCACAAACCGAAAGAGGACCGAGCTAAGATAAACGCATTTGGACTCCAAAGTTCCTAAAACACCTCTAAAAAAGTGAATCGGTTCCTTTTTACCCCAGAAACGATCATCCCTCCTCTACCCACAGACGTTCCACGCGTTTTTCATTTAACATTCGGATTTATGCGCTCGGAAAGGAGCTCACCCATCACCCGCTGGGTTTCTCGCACAGAAGCAGCTCGTGTACTCTCCAGACACATCTGCTCTTCCATGGCTGTGCCTGTCGTGTGTTAACATCAACGGGCTGAGCAATTTTCCTTCTCCCAGGAAGGTCTGCAGGCCTAAGGCCACAGGTGATAATCAATGCCGTGTATTTTAGATACCCGCTCTAATCAGTTCTTAAATCACCCTGTTTTGAGTCAAACAAAGCCTTCCGTCGGAACAACCGCCGAGCAAAATCCATCCCATTAGCCTAACTGGCAGCTGCTCTCAACCGAAAACAGTTTCTCCAATTAGATGGAAGAATAGACTATATGCTCCTGCATTTTTTCTATGGATTCAAGAGCTGCAGCTTGTTTTAGCTGCCCCAGAGCGCGTCCCTCTGCTCCACAGCGTTCACCTTCCACTTGACAATATGCTGCCAATATAATTAAGAGGTAATCAAGAGCTAATCAAAGCACGGGCAACAAATGCTTCCCACATGCTCAATAAAGACCCATGCTGGAGACAAAATGTTTACACAGAGCTGATGAGAGAGATATTTATTCTTGGTTGAGGCAGAGGCCAAGTCAATTAGTACAAATATAATTTTACTTCAAGCACCGAAGGAATATTTCCGGGATCTGGGAGGAACGGGCAACACCACCTAAAGAAATCGTCTCAAACATCGGAAACGGTTGACGTGTCGCACCTCTGAGATGAGTTTGACGCCACGGGATAAGGGCGGTTTAGAGCTCAGAGACAACCAGCCTTACTCCGGCTGCCCGTGGAAGGATTCTGCACGGTCACCGTGCTGAGAGGCTGAGCTCCTCCATGCCGTTTTGGGTAGGAAGCACTAATACTGCCATAAAAATGTGGAAAGTGGCCCTCAAGGTGAAATCGCAAAGGCTTTGAGGCTGGTCAGGAAGAACAAACAAAAACTTGGAAAGATATTTTAGTAGAGGAAAAGGCAATCTCTTTTTAGGCTTCTAAACCCAGTGCAGCCACCCAGCCAGCGTCACTCCGTCGCAAAGGGGTGACCACCAACGTCGGATCTTGGCATCACCGCTCGGCCCAGTCCCGCGAGCTGCCGAGTCGCACCAACGGCAGAAGAGACACCCATCAACCCAAACGAACCGACTCTCCTGCCTTCCCAACCCACGGCTTGGGCAAACAGCACCTCCCCGCAGCAAGCCAGCACACAGCAGCTCTGCCCCAAGCGAACCTTCGCTAGAACAGCCCCGCGGTAGCTGCGGGACTCCAGGTTGGCCAGCTCGGGAATGAGTTGCCACGTGGTTAACGCGCTGCCCTGGCAAGACAGGCAATACACGGGCACGACGACAGCGGAGAGATTCGACACGAGCCACAACGGAGCGGCGAAGGGCTGGTGCCACGGAGCACGGGAAAGGGAACGAAGAGACCTGTTCACTCACGGTGAATATAACGGCTGGGGGGGCAGGAGCAGCAGTGTTTGCCATTCCAAGAGCCAAGAGGGGCAGAACTGTGGGCTGCTTGCAGATGCGTTGCCTGGACCGATATTACACTTCAGCAGACAGACAAGAGATAAATTAGGAAGCAGCAGGGAGCAAGGATGGGTGGTGTTGCATCCTAGAGATGATTGATGAACGTCAACCCAAGAGATCACTGCCCCCCTTCCCTCCTTGAAGAGATTGCAAAGTGCTTTGGAAGATTTGTTTTCACTCCAGGAGGTACAAAAAGAGCTGGGCAATACCTCAGCGTCCTTCCGCCCTCACTGCGCAATTCCCAAGGCCCCCAGCCCCCTCATGGCACCAAGAGGACACTGGGAGGCATCGGCTGGGCGATAACCTACTGAAGTACCGCAGCGTTCAACCCCACAGCATTCTGCTCCTGGAGAATGCCTTAATGAGGGCTTTTACGCAGCGTTGTCCTAATTGCTCTGTGTGCACAACAAATGGATGAAGCACTTGGGTAAAAGAGAGGGCAACTCTGTCCCCCACCCCCCAGTTCAGTCAGAAGCTATCATATGCTCAACGTAAGGTTTTATACATGTTCCTGTTATGTCTCCCCAAAAAGGGCAATAAAAACAAGCAATCACACGCAGTGACTGATCGGACAAAAGGATTCCCGTGGTACAGCACCTACCAGGAGGTGGCCACTTCCGTGTGGTCTAAAACCAGTGCGTAGGAGGCAGGAACTCCAGAGAACCTGGAGAGAGGCACCACAGGAGGTGAAGCTCAAGTGACCCTACAAGAAAGTGGGGGGCTAAAAGAAAGCTGGGGGGGACTTTTCCCAAGGGCAGGGAGTGACAGGACAAGGGGTGACGGGTTTAAACGGAAAGAGGGAGATGGAGATGGGACATCAGGAAGGAATTCTTCCCGCAGAGGGTGGGGAGCACTGGGGCAGGTTGTCCAGAGAAGCTGGGGATGCCCCATCCCTGGAAGTTTCCAAGGCCAAGCTGGATGAGGCTTGGAGCAACCTGGGCTATGGAAGGTGTCCCTACCCATGGCAGGAGGGGACACTGGGGGGGCTTTAAGGTGCCTTCCCACCCAAACCATTCTATGGTTCTATGACCCGTCAGCGGCACCCCCAGCCCTCCAACCACAAGCTCAAAGGTTTGTTTAATGCAATCAACCCCACAGCACCTGGGGCTTGTTTGAGAACTGAAAACTTTAATAGTATCACACCTCAAAAAAGGCAATGGGCCTTTTGCAGCTGCTTCACGGCCCAGCGTGGAGCAACCTCGTTGCAGAACAGGGTCAAACTCACTGACTTTCCACTATGGGAGGGTGGGGACTCCTTACCTCCAGCTACTGAGAAGAGAGAGTTGCTCTCATGCAGCTCCCATATATATTTCAGCAAAAATGCACATTAAACCCTCTCCTTAGCCGGAAGATTGACTCAGTTAAAAAAGAGGCAAGAAAGTGCTTTTGTTTATGCAAAACAAGGCAGGCAACGCCGCATGCCAACAGCCTGCAAAGCAAACAAGCAGCGGTGCCCTGCGTCTCTGCACGGGCCACAGGCCGAGGCACTCACACCCAAGACGCCAGCCGTCGTCCCGGGAAAGGTCACAGCCTTTCAGAAAGATATGAAAATAAAAAATGAAAAGGCACTGCTCCCCCCGAATTCTACAATAACAGTTAATCTTGGAAAGAGCTCCCTGGAATTCCACCGTTAACTCTCTTCTCCCGTGACTGAAGTACTCAGACATCTGTCTCTATAGCTTAGTTTCCATTTTTCTTAGCCCATCGGCACCATGTCCCCACTCACATGCCCCCCAGGACTCCATCTATCTCCCCCCCCAAGTTCAACACCAGTTTCACTACAGCAGGACTGTTCAGTCCATCATCTCACGTGAATTCATCCAGCTGCCCGCACACTGCTCCCGGAGGTGCTGCCGCGTTCCGACTCCGAAGCTCCGAGCAGAAGGCTGAGCGCCCCAGCGCTGCCCGGAGGGAAGCTCTCGGCACTGGGAGCCCACAGTAATCCTTCCCCAGCAGAAATGACAGGTGCAGAGATGTGCCTCCGTCCCTCCTCACCCACGTGTGCTCCATGAGCTGGCTGGTCACGAAGGCAGATTTTCTGACACCCAAATTTTCTGGGCTGACTCAGTGTCTAATCCTTTTCATCCTCATGTATCACTTCTTTTCCCCCAACATGTTTCTGATGCCTTTTAACAGTCTCTCCTCTTCCGGGAATAGTTCATATTATATTGCAGTGCACGTAAAACTAGTGAAAAGGAGTATTTCGGAGCCCTGCTCAGGAGCAACGGGGGCGAAGTGGAAGGCAGTTGCAGTCCTGGGGCTCGGGCACCTGCCTGTTTGGAATCCGATGTCTGGAACTGCGAAATATTTCAGACTTTATCAAGTGTGTTGGGCAAGATTCTTCATGCCTGTTCGGTCTGCAAGTACAGGTCAGCAACAGACCCTGTTTGATGGAATTTTCAGATTCCAGCCTGAATTCACCTGCTTCCCAGTGCCACAGGAGCCCCTAAGCTGCCTCAGGGAGGGCGCTGGGAGGCTGCTCAGCCACAGCTATTTCTACAAAGTATTTCCTGCCGTGAATATTTGGTGCAACTGTGAAATCCTCCTTCCTTCTACCTACCAGCCCCCTGCTCCAGCCACGACTTAAAGCACCAGCTTTGCTATTTCTGTCCCACGTTTCCCTCCATTAAACTATCCGTAGTCCGTTAATGGGCCTTGGAGATGTTAAGACTGACACACAGACACAAACCCAATCCAGTTAAATCAACAGTGTCATCTGAATTAATCTAATCCTTCAAATGTCAAACAGTGCCAAACACCCTCTCAAGCAATCACTGCCTCCTCCTTCTTGGGGGCCTACAAGGGTGCTGGGAGAGGACTTTTTACAAGAGCCTGTAGTGACAGGACAAGGGGTAACGGGTACAAATTGAAATCAGGGAGGTTTAGATTAGATATCAGGAAGAAATTCTTCACAGAGAGGGTGGGGAGGCACTGGAACAGGTTGCCCAGAGATGTTGTGGATGCCCCATCCCTGGAAGTGTCCAAGGCCAGGCTGGATGTGGCTTGGAGCAACCTGGTCTAGTGGAAGGTGTCCCTGCCCATGGCAGGGGGGTTGGAACTAGATGATCTTTAAGGTCCCTTCCCACCCAAACCATTCTATGATTCTTGGGGAGACCACACGTCTTTCCGCGTAGCTAAGAGAGACCCACTCCTCTGCGACACCGGTGAGCCGCCCCGCAGCAACGCTCCCACAGCGTTCAGACTCAGGCTCCTCTCCCTCCTGGAACTGGGTCGCTGTATTACGGTTTTCTTTTCAGCCAGAATTTCAAGCTTACTTCATTTGCAGTATATTATGACTTTCTTTCAGCTGGAATTTCACGGTCGGTGCCTACGCTATTGCAGTATTTCTATTATGGACAAATCATCGCTCTTCCAAAGCTATAATTAAGGTACTTTGGTTTTAATATATGACCTACGTTGGGAAATATTTCCAAACACATTATTAGGTCTTTTCAGGTGCCATGTATATAACCTGCTGCCAACAGCAGTAACGCACAACGCATCATCCATCAGGAGGGAGATCAAGGTGCTGACAGAGCATCAGGCCTCCTACTGTACTGCACAACAGACAGAGCGACTCTCCAAGTCGCACAGCACAGCCAGGCAGTCAATCGGCATTAATATTAATGCCTGTACTAGAGTGGTGCTGCAGCGGCCAAGAACCTACAGCTGAGGCACCACACGAATGCAAACAAACAGCCCGTGCCCGGTGGGGTTTACACCTGAGCAGGTGAAACCAAGAAAGCCAGTAAAAGTAAGGAAGATACGGAGGATTGAAATATGTCAGAGCCTACCAAACAGGGCAGGGTCACAGATCAGCTCTCCTGATTCCCAAATATGCACCGCACAATGTTTTGGGTTGGGGGGGACCTTAAAGCCACCCAGTGCCCCCCCCTGCCATGGGCAGGGACACCTTCCACTAGACCAGGTTGCTCCAAGCCTCATCCAGCCTGGCCTTGGACACTCCCAGGGATGGGGCATCCACAGCTTCTCTGGGCAACCTGTCCCAGTGCTCCCCACCCTCTGCGGGAAGAATTCCTTCCTGATGTCCCATCTCCATCTCCCTCTTTCCGTCTAAACCTGTCCCCCCTTGTCCTGTCACTCCCTGCCCTTGGAAAAAGTCCCCCCCCAGCTTTCCTGTAGCCCCCCCCAGGCACTGGCAGGGGCTCTAAGGTCTCCCTGGAGCCTTTCCTTCTCCAGGCTGAACCCCCCAACTCTCCCAGCCTGTCCCCATGGCAGAGGGGCTCCAGCCCTCGGAGCATCAAGAATATCGTGTGGGAACACAGTGCCCTTCTTGGTGAAACCACGCAGATGTAGATTCAACACTCCTTTGGGCAACAACCCTGCCCTACAGACACATCACCTGGTTTATCTACACAGTAAAATGGGTTTGGATGTTTCAGAGCAGGGACCCACCAGAAAATTCTTGAATGAAAGGTGATAGATAAGTACAGATCTTATTTTTAGAAAGCATTTAAGCAAGCCCTAAATTAGTTTCTAAATCTGTCCTGAGTAAAAGTTCATAATAATGAACTGAGCCACCTCGGACAAAGTGGAATTTTCCCTTTGCCAGACTTGCCTCAAAGTGTACATGTTCTGGAGGACACTGAACAAAGCGTACCAAGGGATTCTCTGCTCACTTGCTGTCTACTTTGCTAGTGTTTGGGATTCACAAGGATAAACAGACCTGCGCATCGCTTTTCTTACGGAATTCCCTCCAATCAATCCTAAAAAGCAGCGTCGGTGGCTGTGGTAGGGTCCAAAGGGCTTTACGAAGGAATTCACAGCTCCGTTTTGCACAAGAAGAACTACAGTATGAGCAAAGACAAGGATGCATTTCTGGAACCCATCATGTGTCCACACAGATCTATGAGAGAGACAGGATAGGATCCAGGTCTTCCAGGTTTCCTTCCTGTGGTTCAGCACATGGATGGCAACACCAACTCCAAGTTATATTCCCATAGGGAACCAGAAACACAGGCTTTCAATATGCTGGCAATGAGGAGGAATTATATTCCCCGAAGGAATGAGAAACCTAGATTTTTAACACGCTGGCAATAAGCAAGCCATAAATCTGCTGGTTTCATGTCAAAATTTCTGCACAACCGTGTTCCGGGCGTCTGCGGCTGGAAGCGCCGAGTTTTGCGGCTCAGGCTCTGCCACGTGGAGCTGCGCCGTCACCTGGCAGACACAGTGGGAACTCGGGTGTTTGTTTCCACCCTTCGCTTACAAACACCCCAGTCCCTCAGGTGAGACGGCGATACACCAACTCACCTCATTTCCAAGCCACTGGATCAGCTTTCCTCAAAAGCTGCCAATCCAAAGCACTCCAGAGCGTTGTTTGCACGTACAAACGCACATCCAGGGAGGCTGCCCAGTCGCCACCCCTTCCAGCCAAAACCTCCCGTTGCCTCCGTGCTTTTCAACAGCTACATCCCCCGTGTAGCGCACAGCCCCTCGAGGGCTGCAAACGCCGTCGGGGCTCTCTGTCGCGTGCGTGCCTCCGTTTCTTAGAGAACCCCCCGCCACGTACGTTCCCTTGACTGCCCCTGCCTGTACTCAGCCAAACTTTGCACTGCCCTACTCTTAATCACAGCGAATAAAAAAAATGGAAACAAGTCTTTTTGTTATTCCTGTTATTATTGTTTCTATTCTTCTTCTTCACGGGACGTTTGTTTGATAGTCAGAACCACCCGTAAGAGCTTTTCAATAACTGTGTCACCTCCGTTTCCATTTATCATCTTAAAAGCAACACTAAAAGCAGATGAACTCTGCAGCAAAAAAGCTCTTCTACTTCAACAATGCAAGTTCAGCATTTTTTCATCCAGCCTCAGCTCTCCCCACGCTTCACAATCCCAGGTGACTGTGGTATCTCCCCAAAATAACGGCAGCAGGAGCCCAATTTCTCCCGTTTGGAGTGGAAGCCCGCACGGCTAAACCGCAGCTCCCGCGTCACAGAACGACGTCCTAATGATGCACGCGCAGAGAAGAAACCCATTTGGAGACGGGCATTGCGCTTCCACGCGCTGCTTCGCTCCTGACTCAGCCAGCGACGCACCGAGCGGGTTTAAGCAGCAGCAACCCCCCCTGCCTACCGCCCCCGCGATCTGCTCAGGGCACCAGCGCCCGGCGGCGAGGGCAACCGGCGGGCCGTGACTTACCACATGGCGTGCATGTAGGTGGGAGGTAGGCGAGGGCTGCTGACCGGGGTGCAGTTGTACGATCTCATAATTCTTTCTGCCAGGAGGAAGTTCCGAAATAAACTGGCCACAAGCAGGTCTTGCCTGAAGAGCTTCTGGAAAAGATCTACCAAGAAATTGCCCGAATTACTGGATGCTTCTCTTCGGGAGTACTTCAGGTAATGTGCAAAAATCCTTTAAAACATCAAAATAGGTCACTATTTTACTCTACTAACAAGGGATCTACAGCAGCTTTGCAGGGATGTGATACGACGAGTATTAAATGGAACTCTGTCCTCCGAGTTCCCTTAAAACATCGCAGTCGCTCTCCGCTGACAGAATTAAATACTTTCTACCTCAGGTTGGGTTTTGCCTTTTTTGGATAAAATGCTTCTTTTGGTGTTTCACTTAAACTCAGCCTCCCTAAGCTTTTGGGAATGACTGACGGAGAAGAGGACCGTTCTGTACTGTTTAATGGCGAACCATACACTGTTGACTGCCAGTCTGATGGGCTCACGAGAAGTCAAATGAAGCCTAAAAGATCGCAAAGGCACCGTCTCCTCGAGAGGCAAAGGAGAATTTATGTTTATGCATTAGCGAGCGCAGTTGGAAACTGTTTGCAGAGTTGGCCACTGATGCTCCAGAAGAACTAAGAGCAGAACAGAAGTAAAGAAACGGGATGACGTTACTCGTGGGAAACATAGACTGTCTTTCCAGCAAGAAGAAATGACCGTTTATTTATGCTGCAAACAACAACTGGAAGAAAACAGATTGCTCTTTACATGTACAACGAGACAGGAGATTATTCAAGCTAAAGCAATCACCTCAGCACTAGCAAAAGCCCTTCTGGTTTCTAACGATCAGGTTGCTGAGTGCTTCCGGTAAAAAGAGTGAATTTAAAAAAATCAACTGGCTTTAAGATCCAGACTGATCTGTTCTTTCAGCATCAGGCTTTAATTTTCGCCTTATTTCAGCGTCTCTTTTATCTTACTCTTCACCCTTCTACTCGTGATAAGCGATGCTGACTTCCAATCAAAACTTGCTTCCCCCGCCCCAAGTCTTACCTCTGGGCAAGACATTCCATGCAATGGTATCTGTGATAGCGGTGAAGATCCAATTCAGCTCTCCCAGCGGAGTTCTCCTGTCATTCAGTCTTCCAGGAATCCTACAAGTGAGGAAAAAAGCACACTTCCTATTAAAACCCCTTATTTTTTGGAGATGCACACCCCTAAACTGCAATCGAGGCTCACAAAGGACGGTATTTCCAGACCCTTAATTCTTAACCAAGAATTCATGTTGCTAGCCCACCTTTCCTTATCCCAAACCCACCACATCCAAGCTGGCTTGCAGGCGGAAGTGCCAGACAAAGCCCGACCAACAAGGAATTGCCTACAGATAACTGAGCTAAGGGGAAAGATCGGGGAGGGTATCACAGAGATGCTGTCAGTTTTTGAGACGCAACGGAAATGCCTTTTTTTCCAAAGCACTGAATCCATTGATCCATTATTCCCCTCTTACTGAAATATTTAAGGATAAATACAATTTATATGACACATGGTATGCTCGTGGTCCATAATGTCCCTGTGTAAGAACTTCCAAGTGATTAAATCCCAGAAAAAATCCTCAATTACTATTTTTTAAACCCAGAATCTCAGGACAGTTAGCAAACACAGTCCTTCTGCCCAGAATGGCCTGATGGTAACACACGTCACAGCTCCCTGTTCACGACCAAATTCCACCCAGCGGGATTCACCTTATGGCTGCAGCTCGGCCATCCTCTGGCTCTAAACCAGAGCGTGCACGTGCCAGCCCGGATGCTGAGGGTCTTGTGCTGAGGGGCACGGCTGCTGTTTCGTACCAAAACACTCAGTTTTTCACCCAGTAGGTCCTTTGGAAACTTGAATTGATGGATTTAGTGCTTGGCCGTTACAGATCCATTGCATCCCAAAGCCACCTCCTCCCAAGAAAACACCAGTGCACCCAGGAGAGCAAACGGGGATGGCAATGCACAGGCAGCCACGTACGGATCCTTATCCCAAGAAAGCGGCACAGCAGTGCCTCGGCCCAGGGAGCAGGAGTGGACAGGGAGGTGATTTTGCCTTCTATCACCGAGAATGGTACCGGAATGCCTTGCGTAGTGCTCACCTGCTGGCATTCACTCCAACTGCTCAAAATTGGGAATACTAAATGTAGAATGTGCAGAAAATAATAATAAACCCCTAGTGACCGAATGGCATGCCGTGAGGAATTTAGGGAGGTCACTCTATCCACCCTGCCAAGGAACAACTTGAACACTGTGGATAAGCACCTGCAGGAATGAAAAACTCGGTGCCAACAAACGCTTCACACGAGTGGAGAAGGACAGAAGAGCACTTGACCACCAGAAAGGGCAGCAATTCAGCGTTCATCTTTCAAGGCTTCGAGGCGCACACACTTCAGAGGAGCAGGACTTGTTTGGCTCTGAGGAAGAACCTGGTGACGTTCCGTAGCCTGAGAGACGCGGAGGATCAGACAAACCAACCGTCTCCCCTGGGCTCAACATTCGTTACGGCAAGCACCAACGCACCAGAGACAACGGCCTGACCGCAGCACGCTCGGTGAAGGTGGAACAGCGGTGTTCCGCCAGTGATGCTGCTGATCCAGGATCTTGCTTTTGTAGGCTGCAAAAGTCAATCCAGTTTAATCCACCCAGGAGCCGAACAGAGACCTCACACCGTGTTTGTTCACCCGTAACATGACGTGGGGCCCAAAGGAACTACGGGGCCGAGACGCAATCCAATGTTTGTGATTGAGACACTGAATGACAGCCTAGTGCGACGCCCAGTCAACATACAAGGCTACTTAAAAGGAATAAAAGCAGCTGTAAAGCGTTCCTCACCACGCCTCAGCTTCTGCCCCCGTCATGATCAACAAACCAAGACCCACAGCCTCGCTCCTGGGCTGCCTTAGTTAATACTCAGACACTCCAACCCAGCCTGGCACCCTCAAGCACAGCGTTCTTCCCCCTTGGGGAAGTGTCAACAGGATGAGGAAGTTTTTTGGTCCAGTGCCTGGGAGGCTACAAGAAAGCTGGGGGGGGCTTTTCCCAAGGGCAGGGAGTGACAGGACAAGGGGTGATGGGTTTAAACAGGAAGAAGGAGATTGAGATGGGACATGAGGAAGGAATTCTTCCCGCAGAGGGTGGGGAGCACTGGGACAGGTTGCCCAGAGAAGCTGTGGATGCTCCATCCCTGGGAGTGTCCAAGGCCAGGCTGGATGAGGCTTGGAGCAACCTGGGCTATGGAAGGTGTCCCTGCCCATGGCAGGGGGTGGGGCTGGGGGGGCTGTAAGGTCCCTCCCAACCCAAACCATCTGTGATGCTATGTGCACAACGCAGTACGACACGACATCCTAAGGATTTAATCCCATCACACCTCGCTTCCCTCCTGTAACAAGTTCCCAAATGCTAACAGTATCAAGACAAACGACACGAAGCCAGTGCTTTCTCTATGGCAACTTGTTCTGATACGTGACAGAATTCTTTCCACGCAGGTTCAGACGAAGCGTATTCCCTCGTATCTCCATTTCTAAACCAGTTAGAAATTAACATCTTATAAAAAAATCCTGTCTGTCTCAATAACAGAGGGGAAAATATACATCTCCGAAGCAGCGTTTGTTAACGGATGCCCCAGAGCAAGCAGCGGGAACACGAGGCCACGCAACTGCTCTGGTGAGGATTTCACATCAATATTTGCGTTGCAGAATACCCTCTGCAGCAAAGTAGCAGCGTTTGGGAAGTCACAGCCTCATTAAGTGGAAGCCGAAGGGATCCTCGCCGAGATTCCCGAGCAAGCGCTGAACTCCAGCTGTCTGACGGCCCCTTTCGAGCCAGTTTCTGGTGGAAACGGAAAGAGGGAGTCTCACGGTAGGGTTCGAAGCGTTACCCCAGATGGGGTGTCCTGTGCGCAGTTCACACTAAAATCTCTGCGTTAAATGCAGGTGACGGTCTGGTACCGACGGCGCCAGGCAGGAACGACAGGCCGACATCCCAAGCAGCTGCGCCCAGCCCAACTGTAGGAATTCCTTGTGACTGCCTTGGGGAACAAGGTATGCTTCTTACTTTTGTTTTGCAAGACATAAAATAACGACTCGTTAACATAATATAGATTTCAGCTTGGATTTTAAAACACACCTGGTATTTTTTCCCAACACAACTCTCCTGCCTCAGACCGGCCGCAAGATTCACAGAAAATACAGCTACCTACGAGGGACTGTGGTCAAGAACTAATAGGATGCCATTCTCACACCTGAGGTGGCACCAGGAGAGTTCATTTTCCTTCTGCCTTTGCATACGGTCAGGAAGATGCTAATTTTGTAGCCAGCTCCAGCATCGCGACGACTAACGCTGTTCAGCGCGCTGAAAACCGTGTGTGGGGTGGTCACGGTGAGGGCAGAGAGCGCGCGGGGAACGGCACAAGGACGAAAGGCAACGTGTTTCCGTAACCGCAGAAAGCCCTAGCCGAGCTTCCAGGGGCTGAGCCGGAACTGGGCAGCAGCTGCCAGAAGGGCACTGGCGGCAGGGCTGCTCCCTGTGCCGCACGCAGGAATCGGCTGAAGGCAGGACAGTCAGCACTGGAAGTCGGCAGATGAAAATGAACACCCTGTGTTTTCTGATCCCGGATGGGAATCTCAAACTCGCACCCAGGACCTGGAGGACAGTTTGTAACCCCCTGATGACAAGCTGAGGGATCCGAGGGATTTTTAGCAGTATTACTCAATGACACTTGGTCTTAATCACCTTTGATAATTAACGTTTAAGCTTCCACAGAAGAGTCATTCTTGACCTCCAGCGTGCAATCGAACACACACTGACAAGGAGAGCGAACTGGACAACCGCCAAATAAACACATCAGCCAAGTTCCATCTGCAGGCACTAAAACTGAGGTACCAACCTCCCGTTCCAGTTGGGAGAGCTGCCCCACAGCCACCACCACGCACTGCGAGTCACGCGAGAGGCCTACGGCAACGCCCCGTTTGGTTCCTCACACAGTTGTAAAGGCTTATTTGAAATAGTCTTTATGTTTTTGGTTTAACCATCACCTACACCTCTCCTCACGAAGCAGAGGTCACTCCACTTGTGTCACTCTTGCAGAGTCCCACTACACAAATTTACTTACTGTCGGTTTTCAGATCAAACGTTTTGGGGTGAATCCCTTCCCCTTGCACAGCGTGCTCTTTCCAACCCACCCCGTGGCTGTAAACTCAAGCTCCTCTAGATTTCTGCGTGGGCACGCATCTACGTTACCAGGACAGCACAAAGCTCCAGAAGGTGTTTTTCCTCACGAGGAATATCGCTATCGCCTTGGTATCGCTCCTGCTGATGCCTTCCACTCTGACAACCGGCGAGAGCCTTTGACAGGCAGGACAAAGCGGCCCTCGTCTGTAAAACTACTTCTGAGGGAGGGGAAGAACAAGGGAAAAGGGCAGGTTGTCCCAGCTGCTCTCCACAATTTACCATCTCTGTGCTCTCAACTGCTTCCTCCATCAGCTTCCTGACAGACGCCTTTACCGAGACCTAAATCACGGCAGTCTGTTGTGAGAGGCGAGGACTCCAAAATGTCAGGGTCACTGAAGAGCTCGTGCTCGGTGGAACCGTCAACCTCCTTGTCAGAAACCTAGCAAAGTTCCATGAATCACTTTAATTAGAGAGGGAAGCGTTTGCTTCAAGGGTGCCAGGTCTTCCCTTCGGCTGGGCCCCGCTGGCCCCCGCTTTGGGAATACGAGATACACGACATGGGGATACGCAATACGATAGTTGGGGACTGCCCACACACGCAACAATGCCAGTTCTGGGAGAGCAAATAACGTAAGTATGTACCACTTTTCACTCTTTCGGAGGGAAAAATAGGGAGAAACACCTCAGGGATGGTGAGGCAGTGATGCAGGCAGGAGGTACGCTGTGGCTGCTTAGGCAGGGTGAACACAGCGCTGAGAGACCACGTGCCCCCCGCAAAGCAACGCGAGCGACACAGCTTGCTGCCAGCGGGCTGCGGAAGCCTTGGCAAACTGCTGGAGAGAGACAAAACGTTCGAGGTTCCTGAATTAGCTGTTCAGGAGAGCTGCAAAGCTTTGCACGCTGGTGTTCGGTCCTGCCATCCCGCTGCACGGAGACAGGGAAGAAGGGTTGCCATGAAAACCATCCTTCCGAGTGGGACCTCCACTGTGTATTTACAACGGGCGTTGCCTACACCAGAGACTGACACCTTGCAGCAATGCGATAAATTTAAACACTCCCTTTCAATGAAACCAGAGCAGAAACTTTCCAGAATGCTACCCCCAGAAGCCAAGTTTGCCCTCAGCTCCTGAGGAACGAGCCCTTTGTTACCGACAGCGTGGCAGAGCACCGCGCTTACAGCGTGGCCAATACCCACTCCTGAAACACGCTCTAACACCCTCACTGCGCTTTGGAGAAGAAAATGCCCCATCCCTGGGAGTGTCCAAGGCCAGGCTGGATGAGGCTTGGAGCAACCGGGGCTATGGAAGGTGTCCCTGCCCGTGGCAGGGGGTGGGGCTGGGGGCACTTTTTAAAGCAGAACAAAGCCCCGTCCCCTTTCACGCCGCAGCCACACAACACACGCCAGCACAGAGGAGAAGACGGCTTGCGATCCAGCAGAAAAGGCAGGTGGAATGCTGCCACATGAGGCAGCAGCCAGAGATTCCCCAACTCCTAGCACCCCACCAACCTACTTTCCCTTCCTTTTTTTCTTTACGTTTTACTGCCCGGCTCCAGCGAAGATCTTTATTTCTAAACGAGGGATTGTTTTGGCTTCGCCGCAGCAGGTCTGGAACACAAATGCACATCAGGATACAACACGTGTCTATTTAGCAGGATGCTGGTTTAGCCTAGATAATTAGAAATCTGAGCCCTTCAAACAAGGTGCAGCCTGGTTTCACCTCTAAGTCTGCAGCTTAATTGCAATATCCACCCTTTCCGCAGTTTTCCAGGCAGTTACTCTATGATATACACCCAGCAAGTATTCGAGGCCTGTCTCGAGGCTGTAACAACCACGTATTTTCTGCAATTGGTAAATGCAGCAGATCATGATGAGATTTAAGTATCTGATGTCCAAAGGAACCTACTTCTGGCACGCTCTCCTCGAAGACGGCCTTCAAAGAACGCAGGGGTGCCGTGGTGTTACTGGCAAGAATCAAGAATACCGAAGAACATTCCTTTTCTGCCAGTAAAGCGCCACTTAAACGAGTATTTAACCCTCAGCAGCACGGGGGCTGTTCAGTGGAGCTGATTCTCGAGCCACCTGGCTCAGGCCTGCCCTGACCCTCGCCGTATGTTCTTTGATTAGACACACTCTTGTAGCAATATGTTAATTGCAATTAACATAAGATGGTCACTGTCGTGGAATACATTTATCCGGTGGCCTGAGGTGATCTCAGTGCGCTGATGGGTTCAGGAAGAGCTGCTGCCTGCCTCTGCTGTCCAGCGGGGACGGCCAACACCCCCTCCCCGTCAAACGGCAGTCAGGGCACCGAGCGCCTTCTGCCACCACTTTCTTAACGCCTCTGACCTTCCCATGCCAACCCCCTGCTAGCACAGCTCTGAGCACGCAGGAAACCCCCGGGGAGATTTCCTTCCTGCTGCGCATCCCCTGAAAACAGGAGAACACCAAAACCCACCGCGATTTCACAGTGGTTCAGAGAAAACAATACCCAGTGGGGAACCTTCCCCCAGGCTGAGGCAGCTCTGGAGACCTCCCTAAGGCATGGCTGGGGTCCTGTCTGGACTGTAAACTGAGAGACTGGGCTGATTTTGGTAAGACTAGTGCCTCTGAAATGCAGCTTTACAAGAATCACTGCTCAGCTTCCCCAGCTGAGATGAGACAGGATAATCACATTCCCACATAAAAAATACCCACACACTACCGATACACCTTGTGGAAGAGTCAGTGGCATCGAGGAGCATTTTTAACCTCCTCTGGATGTAAAACGTGGAAGTTAACAGGCAGTGATTTACTAAAGCAAAAACTGAATGAGAAATTCTAGCTGACGCAATCTTCCCCTCGCTGCTGCTGCTGCAACGGCTAATGTGCTGCTGGCAGCGCGAGCGATGACTGACTGCTGCACTTGGCTCCACCACGCAGCAGCTCATTAAAACACCAGGAAGGATGATAATGTATTTCTATTAAGGATTCACACTGCTTTCCCAGATTCCTTTCCCAACCACTTCATGGACACCCTTCAATTCCACAGGTCTCATCTCAGACAAAAGATAACGGGAATCCAGACATCCGTGCGGCAAAGAGTTCTAATTAATCTCAACAACAGTGTTTCTTGAGGGAAAATTCCTCAGCGATGGAATGAAGGATCCTCAATGACGTGCTCGCAGGCAGTTCGTGCACCTGTATCGATGTTCCAAGAGCAGGGCATCCAAAACCCATCTGCAGGGAGCACGGAACTCCTGCATCTAGTGGCTGCACATACCTACTGCTGTGTCCCTAAGGGTATGCTTCCCCCACAAAAAATAATCTTAAAACCCAGCAAAGACTACAGAGGATAATTATTATTAGCCCCATCCCTGGGAGTGTCCAAGGCCAGGCTGGATGAAGCTTGGAGCAACCTGGGCTATGGAAGGTGTCCCTGCCCATGGCAGGGGCTGGGGGGGCTTTAAGGTCCCTTCAACCCAACCCAGTCTGTGATTCCATTATTTCCAAGTCTGCTTTGTTTGTGTAAACTGAAGCAGAATTTGAAGAGCAGTTGCTTTGGTTGGTCAGTCTGTCTCAGCTGCCTGAGAACCAGTGGTTTGCTCAAATATCGCGGGGATAAAAGGATGACAACACACTGTAATGGTGTTAAGGCTGAAACGTAACAACGCTGTCAGACCGAGGACAGGACAGCACAGTGCTGAAGTGAGAAACAGCAGTTTTGGTCAAGTATTTTTCTGTCCATGAGTTGGTTTTGGTGCCGGGGGGTGTACCAGCACATCTCCTCTGTCAACACTCCCACGGCCAAAACCAGCCACACACGTGGTTTTCAACGCTGGGCTTGCAGGAACACGGCCACAACCTGCGTCCGCAGCTCCCGTTTCTCCGCCTGGAGCGGGATAACAGCCCTGTAGCTCTCGCCCCTGAGAGCTACAGGGCTGTGAACTCACCGGGCGGAACGAGCCACGGCGCAGCCCACTACCCCGCTGCGGCACCGTTCCACGGGCAACCGCTCACTTTTATGGGCATTGCTTATCCCTGCACTGCCCGGGGAAGGCAAGGAATGAGAAATTCTGGAGGCACAGGCTCTGAGAAAAGCTTTCCAAAGAAACTTCCTCACAGGCAAGAGTGCTGGAAATAAAGAGGAAATTTAAGAGCAACGGAAAAAAAAAAAAATCATAGAATTTGGCTTACTTCTCTATTAAATCCAGCGTGACTCCTGGCACCAGTCGGACACTCTTCTGCATGCAGAACCTGTGGAGAAGAGAATAAACCACACTAATTGAGTATTTAATGACAAGGTTCTGGGGAAAGAATCCAGGAGGTTTCTTTATTACAGTGTTTCTGCCTTCCAAATGGTGTTTGGGTAGAAAACTTTGCCACAGCATAATAAGCCTCCAACGAGGCCTCAGTATTTGTCACGTTCACGATTATGCGGCGATTTCCATCGTCAGGTGTCCAAACTGGGGTATCGTAACTGTCAGGGTGACAAGTTTTCCAACGCGTAGCAGGGGGGAAAAGGGCTCACAGTCATCCAGCACGGTCTCCCGGGAGGAGCAAGACGACAGGAGAGCCGAGAAGGGTTGTGCTTCTGGAATAATGATTAGCGTTGGCTGGGTTTCCCTGAAGAGGTTTGGCACTGCAGGCAGGAAAGTGAGAAAGGGAGGGAACGGGAGGGATGCGGCAAGTTCAAACACCTCCGCTACTCAGTTTAAAAAACCCGCTGACTCCATTTCCTCGGCAGTACAAACGCCACAGCCTCGGGAACACCGGCCCTGGCAAACACAGGGTCCTGTCAGTGCTGCCACTCGCTGCGCCGAGAAGATCCCAAAAGCCACTAAAGCCCAGGTGGCAGGGACTGCCGGCCCATTTCCCAGCACCCGAGTGCCTCCTCCAAAACTCCCGGGGATGCGCCTTGTGACCCCCATGGCAAAAGCGGGAAACAATAGGTCTGGGAAGAAAAGCCAGCAAATTCAACTTGAGAAATTACTTCCTCAGCAGTATCACTACTTCCCGGCCCATCTTCCCTGCATTTCAGAAATCCTGGATTGTGGTTTGATGAAGAATTTACCCCTCAGTGTAATACAGGTTGATACTTAACCCTGACGCTTCACTCCGCATGGGAACAGAAAGCTCCGTTGGCAGCCAGGCACCAGGAGGGCTCCAGCAAACCCACATCCCGCAGCGGCTGGAATTGCTGCAGTGGAGCCCATCTTCTCACCAGAGCCACGACATCCACATCCAAAAGGCTCTTTCCCAGGTAAAGGAGAGAACAACTACTTTAAAGACAAGGTGCAGAGCCCGTGTCTGAAATCCCGAGGACCTTGGGGTGTTCGTGGCAGCCCCTGCCTGCAGGACATCAGGGATGGGCTCCGAAAAGCCAAGTGGTCTCCAGGCTGCTTTTCTGATGTGCGCGCCATCCACCACGACACAGTCACAAAGCTATCGGTGAACGCTACAGCTGGATCCCTATAAATCTGCTAAACCATAAAAAACTTAGAAGTTTCTTCTGCTCTACAGAACCACGCAGGGACATACCCTTCTCAAACCCAACCCGCAGGCAGGGTTCAGCACGGTAGGATCGGGATGCTGGAATCAGGCTGAAGCCTCCCTGCAGACTAAGGATGCCAAAAGACTTTCTAAGTGTCTCTCCGTTACGACGTCTCCCAAGGACATCCCTAACAGAGCCAGCACAACTTTGCCCTCTTACGCGTTTGCTTCCCGTAAAGACATCGGGTCCCACCTACGGCCACGTCACGCAGGCGCTCGCGTTTTCCTCGGAAGCGTCTCCTCAGAGCCAAGAGCTGACCTAACCCCCTTCCCTCAGCAGTACTCACAAGCTCACAGGTTAATACAGGGTGCTGCACGCTGTTGGCAGACACCACGTAAAAAGAGGATGAGCATCCCGAGCCTGCTGGGCACAGCCAGCTCCGGGCCCGGCAGCAACCGCCGGAGCACCGACGAGCCGGCTCCCGCCTGGCGCGGAGACAACAAACCCACGAGCCGCCTTTTTGCAAGGCTTTCTCCTAAGCAGAAGGGTTTTGATGACAGGCTGTTGGCTGAGAAGCAGAATGTGAGCCCCACGCACGCCGACGCTCAGGAGACACGCTGCCGTGCCAAGCCTTCACCTCTGGGGTCAACAGAACCAGTGTTTTCCGACCTGAACGCGTTCTGCTGCTGCCCTTCGGCCCTTCCTTTAGGGAGCTGCTCGTACCGCGCCGCGGGCTACCTGTAAATAAGCTTAGACTTCAGCTATTTTATTTGAGCTCGTGGCTCCTCAAAGATGATGAACTAAAACCAGGGAAAACCAACCTTTCTGCCCTGACCATGCATCCGTGTCGTATTCGCCGGAATGGGAGCAAAGCAGCGAGGGCTACCGCGGGGGGTACGCTGGGCCTGCTACGGTAGTTGTGTAGCCAGCACCCACCACCCCCTCGCGTATTCCGGCAGGGATTAGCTCATCAAAGCCCCCTGTAACCAGCAGCAGACTCTCGGCACTTCCTCTCCGACAACCACCGACTGCCAAGAAAATGTACTTGTAAACACAATGTTCCTCCTCCTGGATCTGCGAGCCCCTTCCAGCACTCGGAGGCTCTAAATGCGATGCCTTAAGGGATGGTCTGTGTCATCATCCCAGACATCAGGCGAAATATGTTAGAGCTGAGTGTAAACATCCCAATAAACGCCAGGCAATAAAGCAGAAAAGCAGCAGTATCTGACAACGCTCCACTGGGTTCTGCTCAGGTATCACAGGAGTGTTCTGAAACCGAGTTTCTCTAGATAAATCTAGGACACAGGAATGGCTCAGTTAACCCCCAAAATCTCAAGCAGAAGTGCCCAATAAACATTGATGCTATCCAGAGGGACCTAGGGATGCCATCCAGAGGGACCTTGACAGGCTGGAGAGGTGGGACCGTGCCAACCTCATGGAGTTCAACAAGGCCAAGGGCAAGGTCCTGCACCTGGGTCGGGGCAATCCCAGCACAAGGACAGGCTGGGCGGAGAGTATCCAGAGAGCAGCCCTGAGGAGGACTT